CTTAATTCAGTCGGTTCAAAAAGAAGGAGGTTCTGAATTTGGCCGGTTCAAAAAGGAATGGGTTCTTAATTTGCCCGGTTCAAAAAGGAGGAGGTTCTTAATTCGGCCGGTTCAAAAAGAAGGAGATTCTTAATTCGGGTTTTTTCTACTTAATTTTAGCAGTTGAATGCTTAAAAAAATTGAATATTTTTTTATGTATACCGTTACTCCGAGATTTATGATCCAATTTACGTGATTTTTGTTCGATGCGGTATAGTTGCCATTTGGTCCTATAAAAATTTAATTCAGTTTTGCCCTATTACGGCGATTGCGAAGTATGTTAGACTGCATTTTTGTGCATATTCCTCCCCCGCAAAAAGCGGCAGAATGATTTCAGAAGTATTATGTCATTATGGCTACTCCTTTCCTAGCCGCGTCAGCTGTGTTGCTCTATGGTGTACATATAAACAAAGTATGGTGAAAATTACATCGTGCAAGTTAGCAAAATGTTCATAACATAAAAACTACTGGGTCAAACTAAATTAAATTTTAATGGGACCCTAAAGCAAGTATCTTCCATAGGACAAAAAAGAAACATTTAAGGCAGCTTGCGCACTAGATGGCCACTACCACGACTAGTGGCCGCAATGACCAGATTAACTAATGACAAATGTAGGTAACCCACAATGTCAAATGAATACTTTTTCAAGTATTAAACATTTGAAAGAAGAAATAGCAATTATAGTTATGTTTTTATTTGTTTAAGCATTTAACTGCTAGATGTTTAAATCTAAAGAAAAGTTTTACTAGAAAAAAATCCACGCGGACCAGGCAGCGTACGGGACTCGAACCCGCACCCTTCGCAATCCGGGCGAATGCACTGACCAATTATGTTACCACGGCCCTGATGGCCGCGTCAACATTTTCCTAGCCTTAAGCTGCAAGGCAGCGACATCTCTTCGCATTGTAGTGTCCCACCGTTTTTTTGTGTGTTTAACAGTGTTTTTTTCTAATAAACTTTTCTTTAGATTTAAGCATCTAGCAGTTAAATGCTTAAAAAATACATAACTTATGACAAATGATTATTTTTATCTAGTATTTTAACTATGAATTATGTAAGTATTTTAATTATAATAAATTGAAGTATGGGTGAAACAACACGGCCTTAGAGGTGAAGGCGTAGCATCCTGTCACATATTGAATTGGATTTCAGAATCTAATACTCTTAAGTCTTTTGAAACCCGTCTCTTTAGAATCTCTCGGCCTCCGTATATAGGCCTAGTTTGTGCTTAACGTGCCGCTTAAAATTTAAAAGAAATACTGAAAGAAAATTGCTCTCGCTATTCGCTAAGCCAAATAACGAAATAGAGACTTGGAAAATAACGTCCCGCTGCGCCGCTTACAAGAAATCAATTTGGGTAAATCTTTCTATTCGTAATGACATTATATGTTTAGCCTGTAGAATATCGTTTGGCTCCGGAATGCCTTAAGAAGTATTTTTGGATTTGTATCGTTTCCGCGACAAGTTAAATGGAAAATTGAAAATCTGTTTCTTTTGTTAAAAAAATTGGAAAACATTTCAACACTTTCCATGTACCGGGGTTGAGTTGAAACGGCATGTGTACCTACATTAAATTAAAAGATCGAATTTTGGTCAGGTACCTCTATTTAGCTTATGTTGGTCAGAATTAAAAAAAACACTACTAGGTGGTAGTGTTTTTTTTTTTAATTTTATTATATATATAATTATTTTTAACCCACAAAAATTGTGAAATGAAAATTTATTTAATTTAAAAATTAGGTATATTATTATCATAAGTATATTTTAAGTAACATTAACAGAATTAGATTTCAGTGCCATACCTACAAACTTAAATATATCTGAGTTTTATAATATCTATATTTTATAGTATTTAACTGAGAGACTTTTGATTCTAAAGAAAATTACAGAAAATATCCACTCAGTCCGGGTTTCAGTCGGGATTCGAACCCACATCTTCTGCTTGGATAGTGGAAGATGCAGGTTAGAATCTCTTCTAAAAAATGAACCAAGAGAATTTTTTTTAGTAAAATTTTATTTAGGTTTAAATATCTAAGCTCTCCTTTCAAAAACTATAGTTACCTATCCTGTAGACTGATACGTTAAAACTCATTTATTGAAAACGTTTCTCCGATTTCCCGTAAACTCGCGTTGAGCACACTTTGAGCTCGGCAAGATGCGCGATCAATTAACTCCTAGCTCACTAAATCCTTTCGTAAGAAGATGAATGCTTCACTGAAACCAACCCTATTAACAGTCGATCGATAATATAGCGATATATGAGACCATTTTTTTAGGGTTCCGTAGTCCTGACAAGGAACCATTAAAGTTTCGTCATGTCCGAAATCCGTTGATGTGTTAACGTTTTAAAAATTCATGAACACCGGCATAATGTGACGTCATGTCACGTTGTCACGAGTTAGTTCAGCGTTCCGCGGTGAGTGAGGTGAGGTCGTGGGGTTGGTTTGCTCTATTTTTTCTAACACAAACATAAAACAAACGGCTTCATTAGTGTCTTTTGGAAGTGCAAGCTAATATTATGCAGTAGTTAACGAAGTCACAGCGAAGGCTAGTTTGCAATAAGCACTAGTTTAAATTATGGATAATTTCAATTCAAAATCATTTATTCCGTTTAGGCTTTGACAAGCTCTTGTGAATGTCGAGAAGCTACGCCATCGGTTCGAAAATCTACGGCGAGAAATCAGCAGGGGCTGTTTTTTTTTCTCCCTATATTATTTTATACAGAGCCGTTAAGTCGAAAAATTACTTCAATTTGAAATAATTCATTTAGTAACCTACATTACATAACTTGGAATATACAATTAACCAAAATTACTGATTTGAACACATAGTAGTTTGAGAATGCCGTGTCATACAGTTCTTACTACATAAGATTCTCTCATCAGCTAAGGCCTGAAATTGGTTGATTGTAGGCACACACATACGTTGCGGAAATTAATAGGTACCTATTCCATTACCGCTCGCTAACAGATTTAGCCGAGATCCGTAAGTTGCTGGAACTAAAGAGCCCATTAATTCAGTCTGATAAGCGCACAAGCTATGTATAATGAAGTTTAAAAGCTAATGGATACTGTGCTTTAATAATTTGAAGCGAGCTCTCTGAATAACGAGTTATTATAGAAAGTATAACGCTCATTGAGAGTATGTTAGGTTTTCATCAATGTATATGTACTTTGTGTGAAACAATGGCCTTAGTTTTAAAATATTTATAAGAATATTACCATGTACAATCTTTTTACAAATATATATTATTATTATTAATGATAACTTTTATACTTTACTAGTGGCCCGCCCTCACTTCGCTTCGGGGTAGAATTGATCAAAATCCTTTTAAGAAAGGATAGCGGATGCCTACGTCATAACATCTACCTGCATGAAAAATTTCAGCCCGATCCGTCCAGTGGTTTGGGCTGTGCGTTGATAGATCACTATGTCAGTCAGTCACCTTTGAGTTTTATATATATAGACTAGCTGTGCCCCGCAGTTTATGAGGGACATTTTCCCGCAGTAAAACGTAGCCTATGTGTTAATCCAGAGTGTCAGCTAATTCCATACCAAATTTTAATAAAATCGCTCCAGCCGTTTAGGCGTGAAGAAATAACAAACATACACACTCGCTAACTTTCACCTTTATAATATTAGTGTGATTATTATGCTGTTACATAAAAGCAAACTTTTTGTTTATACGTAAAAACATAGAGCTTCATATTTTTTTTTCCTCTTTCTGTAATCATATTGGGTACACTTGATAATAAAATGTCATACTTTGCTAAACTAAGAACAGTTTGTTGGCAAGTAACTGCGCTAAAACTAATCACATTACAAGTGCACTACAATCGAAATTAATACAAATACGACATATACAAACTAGCAGAAATACGACATATACTTCTTCTTCTTCCTCAACCACTATCCACCCACTGCTGAGTGAAGGTCTCTTCCATTGCACTCCATCTATTGCGATTTGACATATACAAACTAGCAGAAATACGACAATGAAACAGACAGTTTTTTTGAAGTGAAAATTTCTTTAGTATCGTTGTGACTTGAGATTCGATGAAACGGAAGTAAAGTATTTGACACTAGATAGGTATCCGTAATTTAATCATTTACTATAAGAGACAGACAGTCGAACGGTAACGGTCTTGGGGTCGACACCAAATGATTGGTGGTTCAATCCTGGAATATTGTTATAATTGTTTTTTTTTTTCTTTTATTAAGCTATTACTTATTTATCGAAACAATTTAAGTATATGATATTTAAATATGCTCAGTATTTTACAATACCTGAATAATTAAGTATTAAACGTTTGGTAGGTGCCTAAATTGATTATTAATACAGGCTTGGTTTATATCAGCAATCCTTACCTTTCAAATGTTTGCAATTTTATAACAGTATTTTTTTATAAATAAAAAATAAGTAAGAAAAACTAAACAAAAGAAAAAAATAAAATAGCTGATAACAAATAAAACTATGATCTTTTCACATCACTAACACGGTTAAATCTTGAGGAACATGTGGATATATCACTCTTTAAGATTATATAATGAGAAAAGAGTGCTTTCTACAAAATTGGGGTGCTTTGGAAGTCAATCTAAGCTTTTAGTCACGGCTGCATCAGCAGTCATTAGCACGCACCAAACCCCAATGGGCTGGCGTGGTGGGTCATGACCCAATCTCCCTATTCCACCTGTAGAGAAAGCCTGTGCCCCAGCAGTGAGGAAAGATAGCTAGCCTGTTCTTTCCCCTACATATTGATATAAGAATGAAGGTGATAGCAATAACAATGAATGTTATATTTTCCACAGATTAGGTGGGTAAACGCGGGGCCGACTTTCGGCCTTTCGAAACATCTCCGATTTTTGACAGGGGCCGAAAGTCGGCCGCTTGGCATTATAGAGGTAGGAGGTATTATAATTATCAAAGTAGCGTCTTTAACACAGCTGCCTTTGTCAACAGAGACCAGTTTCCAGAATCGGTCAGAATCCGATGACAGCGACAGCACATCCAAAGCAGTCACAGTCACCGCCGTGCCACGAAGTAAGTTTTATTTCATTGAGTCTCAACGAATTACTCCACTTCACCTGATGTTAAGTGTAAGTGGAGTCCAGTCGCGAAACCCTAATACCCTACTCACTAGCAGAAACCAACACCAACAAAAGCTAGTGTTTATAATCTCCTTTTTTTTCTATGGTCATTTGTAATGTGGTTTTCTACAGCTGTCAATAGATGGAGCTATAAGAATCTGTATCACGGTATTGTATATCCATAATTTGAGTCCCAGAGTAGGACATGGGGTAGATTTTTTCTATCCCAGAAATCCTTAAAGAAAGAGGGTGAAAAGGAGAGTAGAAGTCTGAATGGGAAATCAATGTTTCCAGTTTCCACGCAGATGAAGTGGTGGACACCAGTACGTTCTATGAAAAGTATAAACTGTGCTGTCATAATAAAGGTTTTAGAGAATCATGTCAGAATCTTGCGCAGTTTAAAATAGACATGTACGGTAGACTCGGGTCCGTCATTTCATCCAAATTATTGTAACCCGTTACTCGTAGCGTTTCAGCCTTCACAGATGTACCCTCCAACTTTCATGGTTGTCGGGGAGTGCTGCGGAGCACACACATACACACACATATATATATATATATATACTAGCTGACCCAGCGAACTTCGTACCGCCATAAAAAAATAGGGGTTGGTGGTAGAAGGGTGAAAATTTAGGGTTGTATGTATTTTTGTATGATGTATCATAAAAAAATTAAGAAATTTTTTTTATCTACAATTAAAAAGAAAATGGGGGGGGGGGGGTACCCTTAACATTTAGGGGAATGAAAAATATATTACATCCGATTCTCAGACCTACCCAATATGCACACAAAATTTCACGAAAATCGGTCGAGCCGTTTCGGAGGAGTTTAACCACAAACACCGCGACACGAGAATTTTATATATTAGATAATCGTGTGACGCTCTTGAAGCATTTCCATTTCATCTTTTCCATAGAATTTTTCCATTCAAACAGCGTCCAAAATAAGTTTCACTTTAAAAAAAAACACTTTTCATCGCGGATTTGAGGTGAAAGCTGAGTTTTTTCTTACAGAGTAGCACTACTGTTATATCATGCGCAAATAACAATTCATTCTTTACAAATTTGTTATGCACAACCTTTAGAGACGAGATTTGGGCCGATGGCTTCATTATTTTCCGAAATGATTCTGTAAATATCTATGTAATATGATTTTCTTTTGCTCTCGTCAAACACGACTTGATAGGGCATTGAAAATGAATTTACATAATATATAAAAAAAATCTTTTTGTTTTATTTTATTTTCAAAACCATAAAATTTTTCGACAGTTTTTTCGATTTCCAAAAATTTTTTCGACCTTTAAAAACATATCTTTAACATAATCTTAAAGCCCTTCAAATTCCGCGTCTTTTCAGCTCCTATACGTTCTCGCGGCCCTAAACTGGGGGCCTAAAAGATGGAAAATGGGAGCCTACTGGAGCGAAAGAAAAAACTTTTTCAATGTTAATAATCATGATTCCCCTTCAAACATTTCATGATATTGTGCATTGCAAACTGTAATTTGGGGACCCTGATAATATAGAATTGATATCAACGTAACACGGGAGTGATAAATTCACTCGAAACAGGGTTGATGCCAACCTAATGGCGGTGAATAGATTGGAACAACATGAAGTACGATAATTTCCAAATAAAAGCTTCCGTTTCCTTTAATCGCGCAATGGTAAACGCTTTCTGCATTCTCGAAAGCCTCCCGGCTCAGAACTGAGGAGACAGGCCGTATGCAGGAAGCTTGGAGAGAATATCTTGTGTCCTTCATCTGCGTGGAAACCCCTCCCCCTTTTCACTACCTTTAAGGATGGTTTCTGAAGAAAATATTACTAGAAAAAATTCCACGCGAACCAGACAGCAGACGGGACTCGAACCCACACACTTCGCTATCCGGGCGAATGCATTGACTATTATGCAACCGCGGCCCTGATGGCCGTGTCGAATTCTTTCTAGCCTTTCTTAAGCTGCAAGGCAGCACCATCTTTTTGCATTGTAGCTAAACCACAATGCTAGCACGACATATAACTGCATAACTGCTCGTGCAGTTATATGCTTAAAAAATGCAAATTATAACTATGATTTCTGATATAAAAAAACTATCCCATGTCCTTCCGGGGGACTCAAACTATATATTTATTACTAAACTAGCTGTCCCAGCGAACTTCGTACCGCCATAAAAAATAGGGGTTGGTGGTAGAAGGGTGAAAATTTAGGGTTGCATGTATTTTTGTATGATGTATCATACTAAAATAAAAAAAAAAGTTGTCCAAAAAAAACAATTAAGGGTGGACCCTTAACATTTAGGGGAATAAAAATAGATGTTGTCCGATTCTTAGACCTACTGAATTATGAATATAAAGTTTCACGAAAATTGGTTGAGCCGTTTTAAAGAAGTTCAATTACGCACACCGTGACACGAGAATTTTATATATTAGAGATTTCGTCGTTATGGGTATACCATACCATGATACAGATGCGTATAGCTCCGTATATTGACAGCTGTAGAAAACCACATAAGACATAACCATAGAACAAACAAGAAGATTAAGAACTGTATGACGCCTGTATGTCACATTAGCGACGTAACATGACAAGGTTTGTTTCGTAGTGAGAGCATTTATATTTTTCGCACTTATGTATGGCTCTCATGACGATAACGACTTTTTTATTTATCTCTCTATTCTGTTATTGGACATTTTTTATTTTGTTGCACTTACAAACTTCGTAACTTAATTAATTTTGAGAGTATTTAGGTAATTTCCATACACAGTATCAGATGGAAAAGAAAATTATGTTAATTTTTTAACAACAAATGTATGATTTCAGTTTAATAATAAAACATTTATTGTTACAGGGCATTGCCGAACACCACACCACAGATAACAATAAAATAGACAATTGACATTTTTTTCTCAAAAAGAATTGTAATATTTGTCACGTTTCTGTTAAAACTGTACTTACCGTTGTGCATATCAATGAACACACAATTATCAGAATTGTTAATTATGATGATTAAAAATAAAATTTTCAAGAAAATTAACTATATTGTTGAAGGAGTTATTTTATACCCGGTTCATACAATTGAAGTTTTATTAATCTTATTCTTTTGCTTTTATAAATAAATATGTAAAACATGTTTTTTTGTTTGTTTTAATAATATCAAAAATATTTTTTTTACAAAATATTTTTTATTTTAATGTTGGCAATGAGTCATTCATAGATAATTTAACAACTAAATATTTATATGAAACCATTAATTAAGAAATTAAAATTCATAAAGTTAATTGTATTACAAAGAAGTTGTTTTATTTCAAAATGTAAACGTGTTCATGATTAAGTATCGAACTCATAAACAAACAAACCGAAATACATTTTCTAAGGTAAAATTTGATGTACCTACGTCTTTTTCCCTTAACTTCAAATGTACCATTGATAGTACTACTGACACACTTTTACGTCACTAGTACCATTAGAAAAATACAATATATTGCCCCAGTTGACGGTACTACAGCGAGTAAACTGGGGGGAATATATTATATTTTTTAATGGTACCTACTAGGGACGTAAAAGTCTGTCAGTTGTACCATTAATGATAGTGATCTATGGTACATCTGACTCATAGGGGTCTTTCTAAATAACAATAGCTACATTTCATAAATAACTTTATTTATAGGTACCGTGTCGTGATTATACTTTTACTAGGTATCTTCCCAGAGAAGTTTACAGTTGGAATATTCAATGTTTTTTCCTCTCTCAATTCAGTGCGACAGCAGATTTTATATTCGAGTGTCGAAATGAGTTCAACTTTTTACGCTCGTTTCATAATGATTTTTTGATTAAAAGACTGAAGTTTCTTAGTAATAAGTAATTTGCCAAATGTCTGTGTCAAATCTATAACTGTCTTTTTAACTGCCATTTTTATTATCTTATTATTTTTTTACCATTAATACCAAAGAAGTATCCTTTACACGATTTTCATTTTGTAGTTAATGCAAATTTTTATATTAAATAAAAAATCTCGTGTATAAAAAAGGGTAATGTTCGCATCGCATACAACGTCTTTCATTTCTTGAAATTCTCGAATTGCAATTTCCAAAAAAATGGGATCAGAGATATTTTCGTACCTATCTCAAAATCTCGAATTAGCTAATTGGAATCGGAAAACCATTTGTGTGTTTGTGTTATTTATCGTGTGAAGGAAACTTATCTAAACATGTTTATCCAAAGCGATGCACCATCTAAATGGAACTCGATATTATATTTAAACGTTTGTTTGTTATATAGAATATTCTAGAATAATGTAATATTATGATAATAAATGTTTGAAGTACTAAACTGTGATTTTATTGACTATATTAGTAATGTGACTCTGATTATTTATATTTACACAATATTTAATATTACAAAAGCTAAAAACTACTTAATGTCTAAAAACTTAAAAACCAGAACAAACTAAGTACTTAAATATTATATAATTTACAAAATAAACAAATATATCACCACCAGCGCCGCTGTCAGGAATGGTGCCCAATAGGCTGGCAGCATTTCCTCGTTGGATAGCAAGACCCTCCCTTTGACCAAGGTAGCTGCCAGCATTTTGATCATCGGTCGCCTCGGTGAGTCTCTTAGACAATTCCTTAAAGAAGGAACGAGCGCTTGGACCGCATCGTCCCATAGTCTCAACACCAACCGGCACAAATGTATAATTCTCATTGAGGGCTGAATACTTGTAGGGCACGGAGCGAGCGTATCCACGCAAGTTGCGTCCCATATAAGAGAACGACCCTGCTTCCAAGGAATGAGCGTCATTCCGTCAGGTCTCTTGCCATCGTCTCGAAAAATTATTAATGTTATTTTGTGATTAAACAAAATTCAGATAGGTCCAATTTACCCGTCTACGTAGCTGAGAAAATATTAACAAATTTTATGTTGTATAATTCAAACCTATTAGAAAAATGATAAATTACCTTTACCTGCTACTAGGTTCCATAAAACCAAAAGTACAATGAAATAAATATCTACCGCAATATCCAAGAGTCAATCCTAATGTGAATCTACTATTTAAAATTACTTCTCTCAAGAGAAAAGTTTTGACGATTTAAAAGAGTGAGTTGTATTTATTTACAAATATGAAAACAGTTCCTCTTTGAGTTATTTCCGCGGTGTGATGTAGATTCAAATTTATTCAGTAGTTTCGGATGTGAAAATGCATCCTTGCACACCTTGTTTGTTTACTAAGTATTTATTCGAATATACCAGCGTGCATCAGATCGCTGTTTACTTCACAACTATCACAAAGTTGGAATCCCAATGTATTTAATATTGAAACAAAAAAAAAAACGACGGGTTGCACTACGGGAGTGCCGGCAGAAGTGAAAACTTGAATATTAACGTTGTGCATTTTTGATATTTTGGAATGGTTAGGGAATAATTTTGCACGAATTGCTTTAATTATCAGTATAAAAGTACTATCATTTATGTGGTAGAATACAGTATTTATTTATTGCGTTATCGTACACAAACATGACAATTTATATTTCATTAAAAGGTTTATCTCTCAGAAAAATCAACTCACATGAATCACATTGAAGCGCACCTAGCGACATCTATTGTAAAAAAAATGCATTTTCTTCGCAATAAAGCTGCCACCTGGACGTCCTCATTAGTGACTTATTATTATAATACGATAAAATAAAATATTACTATGTTCGTCCAATATATTGAAAGTCAACCACCTTTCCAATTTTATTGTTTTCGTCTTACGATTTTTCGATTAGGTCACGTGTCCGGACGCGATCAGGCCACGTGTCATGACGCGATCAGGCCACGTGTCCTGACGCGAGTTTAACAGTTTTTACCCATTACAAACAAGAGTACAACGCCGCTAAAGAAGTTTTCACTTCAAAAATGGCAAAAAACAATCAGAAGCGAAATATTAGTCAAATGAGAAATACGTTTTTTTACGTATTTTAAAACAGTGGCAAATAAGCTATGGCCCGGCCCACCTAATTGTAAGCGATTATTCACCGATTACACCTTCAGAAGTTCAATACCAGAGCTTTGCCTACCCTAAACCCATCCTTAATAGGGTTTTTTCAAGTTTTAGAAAACGATCTCACGTTATTTACTTATGTTTATGGAGTCCATAAAAAGTGCATATTTTTAATTCTGTTGTGTAATTTTTCAAAGTTGCCACGAAAACGTTTTTATGGACATTCTAGTGTGTGACGTCACTTGACTGTCATTAAAACGTCAAACGATACAATGTAATGTCACTTTGGCCGGAAGTATACTAGCATGTGACGTCATTTTTGTCTTCGCCAATCCCAGGCGTTTTGCATTCACGTGATCATTGAGCAAAAAAATCATTTGTATTGAATGAATTTTTAGAAAAGTTATTAACTATTTCTTCTTTCAGAATAGTAAAATCGCTGCTAATATTCATATTAAACACATATGCCAACAAACAATTGGTAGATTATTTTCCTTACTGTCAAATAGCCTATTCCGTGAAGCCCTGAGAGTACTTCCAAATTCGAAGGGGCTCCGTGTTGACATATTATAAATAGGCGTGTACTTACAAAGCAAACAATTTGTTTAGGTCCCTTTAAACAGATGTTTAGTTCGGAACACAAACATTTGCCCGAAGTAGAGACAAGTTTGCCAAGTCATCAGCGCTTCTGATAAGACCTTCGGTAACCGTCACAAAGTTTGAAACAAAATATTGACATTGGATTTCTCTATAGGTACATTATATAAACGACAAATGTATTAATAGATTTAACCAAATTTTGTTACAGCAGTTTCAAGAATGATAATCTTGTTATTTGAAAAAAGAATTATTTTCCGAAGAAATTCATGTGTTTATATTCAGCGGGGCCACTTGAGCTGAATATATAAAAGTATTACTTTTTTTTAAATATAAAGGGCCCTGCTGTAAATACAAAGCTTTCTTGTTGATTTTCTTTTTTTTCTATTATAGATACGTTAGAGCTAATACGTGAATCGATATATTATAGCCCAAGCAATAGATTAAAACCAAATAACAAAATTTTATCACACTAGTTTTTTTTACAGATGTTAGGGTAGGTTGTAAGACGCTAAGTTTAAAAATCGGGGAATGTAGGGTGGTCACAACTCACAACTGGCCGCTATATTGGAAATTGCGTATACCGCTATATCTCTAAAATTATTGACTTTACGGGAAAAAATGTACAGTGCTTTTTGTTTATAACTAAATTCGCTGACTTTTTATTGTAATCTTTACCGTTTTTCAATTATTGTTGTTTATTTGAAAATGTTTGTAGTGTTTCTTTTATAAGACCTTAAAAATGCCATTAATTGATAAAAACCGCTAAATAAAAGTTATTTATCATTAAATTTTTTACAACTTTTGTATAAAACTTTTTTTAATAAATAAATACTTTTCAAGTTATGAGTCGTTAATGTGGCGCATAAAGGGCATTGTATCCGAAAAATTCACTTACTTACATCCAAATTGAAGCTGCCCCATGATGATTTCGTTGGGTTGTTATCGATTAGTTGCAAAAAAATGAAAGGAGATTGCTGAAATTCGCCCAAATGCACAAAAAATATTGACATATACGGTAATTCTTAGCGTAATTTATACTTTATTTTACAGTCATTAGATTTTAACGGACACCTTTGTATAATATATTCATTTTAAAAGGGACTTTTAATTTTACCGGTTTGAAAAACATACGAATCATTTTTAATGGCTTTGGGTGTAATAACATTCAGCCAAAGACTGTAGTGCAATTCTGTAAAACCCATAAATTCATCTCACTGTGTGAAACGGATCCGCTTTTGAATCTCTTTATGTTGCGCTTCATGGAATTTTCGCATTCTGTAACCAATTGTACAAGCAAGTGAAGCGAGATTTCATTTATATCCTAAGTGATTTGTAGTGTTACCATTTTAAAAGTTTTTGGTAAATCGAGATATATAGACTTAGTTATTATGCGTGAAAAAAAGCACGTAAATTTATTATTTAGATATATTTGTAGATATGAGGCTCAAGTTTAAAGTTTTAATGGATGTAAACTTAAAATAGTCTTATTTTTAAAGTTTGGTAACATGGACGAATGAGGGCTTACTCTATGCGCATCTCTGTAATCGAGTGAGAATCGACACTAGCGCTACTAAGTGAGAGTGGCGGTTTAGTAAACTATCACAGGTGAGACCGTATCATACCTAAATGTCTTTGACGTTTCAATGGCATTCTGTAACGAATTTCAGCGCTTGTTTACACCTCACATTAAAAACCGCACTCGAAAGTAACTGTCAAAATAAAAGTTACTCATTAGCTGCGGTAATAGAAGTGATTGTACGAAGTGAGTATTTTTATAGACTATTATCATCATAAAACAAGATTAATTGTTAAGTTATTTATAATTACGTTGCTTTTGTTTATTTAAGTAATAATTCTTTAAAATTATGTCTATCTAGTATTTCAGATGACTCACTCTATTACTTGCTTTTTACTATAGAAAGCCCATGTATGATGTAGATTTGGCCAGAAGCCGCCTACAAGCCCAATTTCTGTGTAACCTGAGTAATTTCATGTGAAGATGAATACGTGACTAAATAAAGATTTTTTTCCACAATTGGAAAATGATTTAAAGTATTCATTTAGAAGAAACCAAGTGTAATGGAAAAGGATTATCCAATAGAATGAAGGTAAAGTACCTAATTGCATAACAAAAATAAAACCCAACCAAGAAACTTTTTATAACAATTATATGAGAATAAAAAGTTTTTTCTGTTTCAGATACTGTGTACACTTTCATTTGTGCAAATGGGAGTTACTAAGGATAATAGGGCAAAAAATTACACACATTTATCCCAACCATCAATATCAAGACTTGTAAATGAAATTGCCACCTTTTTAAGATTTTATGTCATCCAGACATAGCAAAATGCATCACAATGCCAAGTGATAAAGAATTGGTAAGTAAACTTTGATTCACTACAATTAAACAAATACTTGGGCAAATAGGTGTACAAAAGATATAATAAAGTAGACCCCCCGGTATAAATATTACATATAATTCAAGTAGAACAGTGTTTCTTAGTTTTTGCAATCCTTTACCTTAATTATTTTAGAATATTTTATGTGGGTAATAAAATATCTATTTGTAGTTTATTTAAATTATCTAATACTTAAGTAGTAAATGCTAACTGCTATTCAGGACCACTTTTATTTAATTAATTTTTAATGCCTTTACATTACATATGGCGGTCTTAATGCCAGCATAACATTCTCTACCAGTCAACCGGAAGGAACGAGAGTCAATAAACGACATTT